ACTGCCTTTTGGGTTAGAGCTTTAGGTCAAAGGCTCGGGGTGTGGCCCCCTAAGATAACCACCTGCTTCGGTCTGGGCACCCGGGCAGTATCACAGCCCACACACAAATATGATGAACTGTCTATAATTATGGGAACTACTTTACTTGCTTCAACTAACATTCAAATGATTATTATTACTGTTATTATTATTATTATTATTATTGTTATTGTTATTATTATTATTATTATTATTATTATTATTATTATTATTGTTATTGTTATTATTATTATTATTATTATTATTATTATTATTATTATTATTATTATTATTATTATTTACCACATTATTCACCCTCTTTTATACTTATACAGCGGGTCGTCTCTGGTGGAAGTTCGACTGTATCTAAGCGTTCTCGAGTCACTGTTCGGTTGAAAATTGTATGTTACCACCGAATATGAGTACTGAAGCAGTTTTTCTGAAACCACGTGCACCATTCAAACTGGCTGCCTTCAACGTTCGCACATTTATGCAGGTCGGACAACAGATAGGGCTGGCTATGTCTTTGGAAAGTCTTAATATCGATGTCTAGTGTCTATCCGAGACCCGTATTCAAGACTCTGGTGATGTACTACAAATTCGCTCTCCATCTGTCGCTTCGAAAAGCTTGTTTTACGTGCGTTTATCCGAGGACCCTGTGGCATCTTCGTCTGGCCTTGCTGGGGTTGGTGTCGCACTAAGCGCTAGAGCTGAGGCAGCACTGAATGATTGGATTCCTATTGACAGTCGGTTATGTGCTGTTAGATTAGAAAGTCCCATCAAAGTGAGAAGAAATCGGCGTAGGAAACCATGTCTTTTCGTCATCTCCGCCTATGCCCCGACAGATTGCAGCCCGGATGCAATCAAGGATGAGTTTTACCACCAGTTATCTGTTCTTCTCCAGGATTTGCGTTCGACAGATATTGTAGTACTAGCCGGAGACTTGAATGCTCAGGTCGGGCGTCTAGGCGCAGAAGAGAGTCGTTTAGATGGCCGATGGGGACACGTTGATCGCAGGACAGATAACTGGGACCGTGTTATGACTTGAAAATGCTGCTGACTAAGGGGTAGCGAATTTTTGATCGGATCAAAGACGCGCAAACACGTAAGTACAGCCTAGGGTTCTGATTGGTCCTGCTTCTCTGTCTAGCCCAGCCAGTTGAGTCCAGAACACAAGTCTCAGCCTCGGATATATGAATCATTATATTTCAAACACACTCTGTTTAGATACTAATCAAGCAGACCACATCGTGCCATAAAATAAAAAATATTGACCAGTAGGAAAATGACACGTGAAATAAGCACTGACCAATAAGAGAATAATACCATCTCCAAGTCCAAGAATAGCATTAGACTTAATCGAATAATTTTTGGGATATTTTCCTGAATATCCCAACAGACCGTCTACTGCAACTGTGCACAGACCACAACCTGTTTCTGGCTAGCATTAACTTTCGGCACAGTCATCGACGATGTGCCACCTGGCGTCCTCCTTCTGCATCTCAAGCCTGGACTCAGATTGATCATATCGCGATCAGCTACCGCTGGCGTGGTTGTGTACAAGACTGCAGCTCCTTTTGGAGTACCTATCTGGACTCTGACCATGCCTTGGTCTGCGCCAATCTTACCTTACTTTTCAGTGGACAACGAAGTGACCGCCACCAAAGGATTGATGTTAGTATGCTGGTTGAAATTTCTGTTGCAAGTAAGTATTGAACCGAACTAGTTTCTAGGCTAGCTACCATTCCACCGAAAAGTATAGATGAGCATTGGTTGCAATTGCATGACGCCATCAAAATGGCGGGTACAGTCAGTTGTGGGTTCGCGAAACGTCCCGCTTATAAGCACTGAGTTTTTTTAGGCTTCTTACAGCTTGTTGAAGCTAGTCGGTCTACTCCGGGTGACCACGAATTTGTTCACAAATGAATACTGTTACACAATGAAATTGTGCAAAACTTGCGTAAGAACCAAGAAGCCTGGTGGTCGGAGTGTGCCAATGAGTTTGAAGCAGCAGCTGCATCTGTTAACTACCGGAAGCTCTTCCAGCTCATCCGAGCCACTGACAGCAAGAAGTCTGGTGTGAGTGGAACAATCTGCGAGGATGATGGGATACCAGTCACTAACATCCATCGACATCTTGGACGATGAGCAGAATTTTTCGAAGGGCAGTTCAACTGGCCTGCTGCTCCGGCAACATCGGTCAGACTGTCCTGCCGTCCATGGAAGGTAGAGTCCACAAGGAACTCCAACTCTTGAAGCGCTACAAATCAACTGGCCCAGATGACTTACCTCCTGCCCTTTCTAAAGATTGTGGTGACTTTTTGACTAAGGAATTGACGACGTTGTTTACAAAGGTCTGGGAGCTAGAGAGTGTACCAACGTCATGGAATGAGTCGATAGTTGTCCCTATCTTTAATAAGGGTTCACATCGTTCCTGCAACAACTATCGGGGGGTAAGTCTACTTCCGATTGCATTCAAGCTGTTGGCTTCCGTCATACTTCGTAGGTTGTTCAAAACCCGAGAATGATTGACTTGCGAGGAGCAGGCTGGGTTTCGTTCTGGTCGAGGATGTATCGATCATATCTTCACCCCCCGCCAAATGTTAGAACACCGCCATACTTATCAAAGGCCAACAATCGTAGTGTTTCTTGACATCAGGGCTACCTTCGATTCGTTGGACAGGACTGTTCTCTGGAATTGTCTATTGAAGAAGGGTGTGCCTGAGAAGTTTATTAACATCCTAAAAGCCCTGTATAAAAACACCTCAGGCAGAGTGAGGGCATACAACCACCTCTCTCCATTGTCCCATTCGAGCAGTGGGGTTAGGCAGGGTTGCCCAATCTCACCATTACTCTTCAACTTTGCCATCGACGACATTCTGGAAACAGCTCTGATGGATGTAAGTAATGGTGGTGTGGACCTGTTGCCTGGAGAAAGACTTCTCGACCTTGAGTATGCGGATGATATTGTCTTACTGTGCGATAATGCCCAAGGCATGCAATCCGCACTTAATCAGTTGGCAATCAGTGTCCGTACGTATGGTATGTGCTTTGCACCTTCGAAGTGCAAAGTACTTCTACAAGACTGCCAGGATTCTAATCCTGTACTTACTCTGGATGGTGAACAGATAGAAGTAGTCGAGAAGTTCGTGTATCTGGGTAGCTGCATAAGTGCTGGTGGTGGCGTGAGTGATGAGATCAATGCACGTATAGTGAAAGCCAGAGCGGCTTATGCCAATCTGGGCCACCTTTGGTGCCTTTGTGATGTTAGTCTGGCTGTAAAAGGTCGGATCTACAACGCGTCGGTGAGAGCAGTTTTGCTCTATGCTTGTGAAACCTGGCCTCTCCGAGTTGAGGACGTTAGACGACTTTCTGTGTTCGATCATCGCTGTCCCCGAAGGATTGCTGACATCCAGTGGCAACACCATGTCAGTAATGCAGAGGCTCGGCATCGTGTGTTTGGGCACAGAGATGATAATGCAATCGATGTCACCATCTTGAAACACCGACTTCGATGGCTTGGACATGTTCTACGAATGTCGTCCCAGAGAATTCCACGTCGTGCATTATTTGCCGACTCTGGGACTGGTTGGAAGAAGCGGAGAGGTGGTCAGTGCATGACATGGTATCGTGGCATGAAAGAAAGCTGCAAAGGACTGGCTTGTGTTGGTCCTTCACGACTCCCTGGTTGGGGTCTGAGAGATGGTGCTACACAGTGGCTAGAGACGTTATCAGATATGGCTCAGAATAGAAGCCAATGGCGAACCTGCTGTAACCTTCTTTTACTTTTTTCATAAAAAGTGGTTGTGTCTCCATTACCTGAAAGATTTCTTCCGATTGTACCTTTCCGTTCCCTCATTATTACTATTATTATTACACTCCCGTACACCAATCTCTTCGTTATTGTTCTTTTTTTTGCGCTCCTTACCTTCTTTTTTTTCTTTCCCTTCGAATTCTCATTGTTTTGTGTGGTGCATATATATTGGTGCTCTCTTGTACCAATATTTATGTGTTCAAATAAATAAATACAATGGAGTTGGTGTATACACTCTCTGTCTTCCCTTAAACTAAGAGATTAAAATCACTTCGTATCTTTCTTTCTACGAACTAAATCTTTCTTCCTGTACTATATCCTTATATGCAATCTTTCTTTTATATTTTACCACCATTGACTTAACCACTCCTATGAATCAGATGTCCATCTTGTTGTGTTAATGAGGTGTGGCAACTTGAACCGATGCATATATGTGCCTGGTCCTACGTTGTAACTGACTGACTGACCAGCTGAAATCGAGATAATATTAAAACATGGCAAACTAAGCGATTTTTGGTGGTCGTTATTCAATATAATCCTTAAACTTGGTATACAGTTCGTCTTGATAACCTTCACTAGATAACGTTTCAACGGTATATTAATCAGAAGGTGAATACCAAGTGTTGATTATGTTTATTATGGGACCATGCACAGATATCCAAAATTACAGGTGCGTTGAACAAGCATGAAAGAGTTGTGCCGAAAAGCAAGTAGGCAAGCGAGCGGCGAGTGAGTCAGCAAATATGAGTACGAGTAAGCGAGATAGAGCAACGAACATGAATAACATGGACATATATATACATAGTGAAATGAATGAATCATCGAATCAATTAAGCGGCTAGTAGTAAAGCTAGCAGCGTGAATAAAATGCATAGTCAGTAAGCAATGCTCAAGCATACATGTTCATGCATTCGCAACAGTAATAAAGATACAATGATATGGATAAGTTGTTGTTGTACGGATGACTCAGTTCGTTAATAAGTTAATAAAATGACAACCGAATTAAATGTGAACCAACCCAATTACATGTGAGTTGCCATAGATTGATAATTTTCGATCCAACTTATACCGTCTCAGATTGGCAAAAATAATTGTTATTGTATATGTATAACGGTATTTCAATTTGGTATATATATATGTATATCGTCTCATTCTTTTCCTTTCCCAGGCTGGAGCGAATATGATTGTCTCTGGCACTGAAATAACAAGTCATGAAAATCCTGCTAATATTATTAGATTGATGAGATCTACTGCTGGTCAACTTTTTAATTCATCACTCATAGATTAGTGAAATATTAATGATCATTTTTTTGTACTTTGGTTCAACTAAATAGATTCTTTTTCTACAATAAAAAATATGTGAATTTGACAAGATAGTTGTGTATTTTACACATTTAATCTATTGACAAAGTTGGGCTGATTTAGTGCTTAGGTAGATGAGTAAGTTTGACTGAATTATTTTTTATATTTGTAAATTGTGATATTCAGTCAAGTTTATGGGATCTCAGTTTTGCTAGTTTCATCATCATGTGGTATTCCTTGATGATCTTTTTAAAATACATTTGACTTAAATTACTATTTGGGAATCTGTCAACCAACACCAAGGTCAGAATTTTCAATACAAATGTCAAGGCAGTTCCACTGTATGGGGCGGAGACCTGGAGAACTAAGAAAGCTATCATCCAAAAGATAAGTGTTTATTAACAGTTGTCTACGCAAAATACTTCAGATCCGTTGGCCAGGCACTATCAGCAACAACCTACTATGGGAGAGAACAAACTAGATTCTAGCGGAGGAAGAAATCAAGACGAAGTGCTGAAAGTGGATAGGACACACATTGAAGAAAGCACCCAATTGAGTCACAAGGCAAGCCCTCACTTGGAATCCTCAAGGCCGAAGGAGAGGAGGAAGACCAAAGAATACATTACTATAAGAAATGGAGACAGACATGAGATGAATGAGCAACAATTGGATAGAACTAGAAAGGGATACCGAGGACAGAGTTGGTTGGAGAATGCTGGTTGGCGGCCTATGTTTCATTGGAAGTAACAGGTGTAAGTAAGTACTATTTGGGAATGACTGGTCCCATTTTTGGGACCGATTATTCGAACTAGGGTTATGCATTATTTCATCTCATAATGCTATATATTCCTTTACTGTCCTAAATGTTCTGCGTAGTTATGTATTTTTTTTAGCAAACGACTTGTGCTTTTTTCTGTCTTTTCTTTAAGGAGGCATGAAGAAATTAGGCATATTATTGAACCACAATTAATTATGGTCAGTCGAAATCATGTACTGCTTATACTCTTATTACCTCTACCACTACGGAATTTGAATCGACAAGTGCATCTCTGTGCTAATATGGTGTGGCAACTCGAACTGATGTACGTACGTACGAAGTTCTACGTTGTTACTGACTGACTGAGACCATCTAGTAAAACATTATCCACACTTTGATCAATTTCAAATGATAAGACCTTCGTGTATCTATTACTACAGATCATGTGTGCACTTTTCCTCAGTCGTTAGGGCTTTTCTTTACCGTATGTATTTACTTACTTACGCCTGTTACTTCCAATGAAACATAGGCCGCCAACCAGCATTCTCCAACCAACTCTGTCCTCGGTATCCCTTTCTAGTTCTATCCAATTGTTGCTCATTCATCTCATGTCTGTCTCCATTTCTTATAGTAATGTATTCTTTGGTCTTCCTCCTCTCCTTCGGCCTTGAGGATTCCAAGTGAGGGCTTGCCTTGTGACTCAATTGGGTGCTTTCTTCAAGGTGTGTCCTATCCACTTTCAGCACTTCGTCTTGATTTCTTCCTCCGCTAGAATCTAGTTTGTTCTCTCCCATAGTAGGTTGTTGCTGATAGTGCCTGGCCAACGGATCTGAAGTATTTTGCGTAGACAACTGTTAATAAACACTTATCTTTTGGATGATAGCTTTCTTAGTTCTCCAGGTCTCCGCCCCATACAGTGGAACTGCCTTGACATTTGTATTGAAAATTCTGACCTTGGTGTTGGTTGACAGTTGTTTTGGGTTCAGGGTGTTATTCGAATGTAGATATGCTGCTCTTGCTTTGCTGATCCACACCTTCACATTTGCATCGAATCCACCGTGTTCATCAATGATGCTGCCCAGATATGTAAAAGTTTTTAAACCGTAGGTATTTAATCTATACAAAGTAACTTGAACTGCTAACTCACTTAGTGAATATATTCATTATGAGTTACAAGAGATTCTCTAAAAAATAAAATCCTAGTAAAAATGAAACATTTTGGATATAAAGTTATTTCCTCTTCAATAGGTTTAGTCAATTAGATATTCTAAGAAGAACATACTTTAAGGGGCTAGTGATAACGGTGATAATAATGGTAATCATCCACAAAACAACTCATTTTTTGTATTGTTTTTTTTATTATTCCTATTGATGTTTAGGTCTGCAATTGATCAGTGTTTTATTGGTATATGTTTATGTGCACCCGGTGTGGATTGCCTCGATATTACCTTGATTAACAAGCATTATAAGCAGAGATGGATGGTAGCTAACAGTCTGATCCAGAACGCGTGTTTCGTCCTACTTGGGGCTCGTCAGTTGGATGTACCTGCATCCTAGAGTTGATGTTCACTCCGGGAGTTCCTTCATAAAATGTGAAGACCATACGTTTAATACTTCATTTGCAAATCCTTTATCAATCGTCCCAAATTTCATTGTTCCTTCATTACAATAACAATCACTCTCCGTTCTCTTCGATTTGATCTTTTCAACCTTGTGCTGCCAGACATTACATTTGTGAACGACGTTACATACTACTTATGTCGAAATAAGTAGCATACACCACACTATGGTTTACGATGACGTCTAATACTGTACTTGATCACTATCGCGAACAACGTTGATCAGCCATGAAAGATAAAACAAAAGTGTACAATTATCCATATAAAAGTAGAAAATACCTGGAAACCACTCATACAATGTGAATAAATTGACTCGATTGCGAGAAGACAGCATCACTATGTAAACCAGTTATCTGATGAAAACGTCTTACTGCCGTTACACTCCTGTACAGTCATCAGTCCAAGCTCGTTCTCCTATCTTAAGTTGCTACTTTTACTCTTACCGTTCTCCAACCGACCTGCTTGGGATGAGTGGATTACAGGAACAAGTAATCCAGCCAATATAGCTTTATCGGTTCATCACGTCAATGTAGCAGCTACATTATCGAAAATAAATAATGACAAAACGAATTACAGCATAGAAACTATATTCTGAAAATTCAATAAATTAATAAGCTTCAGTATGCCTAATGTTAGCTGCATCACGCAATGTGTATGAATGCTGAATGACTAAAACCGAAATAAAGCTTTCGTGAATAGTTTTGTTTCATTAGGTAATCATTATGTTTCAAAATATATTCATGAAATGTTCCACATTTCATATGACCTACGAAATAGATCCACTTAATAAAAATGATCAACTTTTGTATCGGTTTTAAGACTATTTAAAAAAATGCGGTAGAAATTTGAGGTGGGTAAAAGTAATGTGAATTTGTTAAAATGTAATTATAACGACTCATAAAAATTAGAGCTGGTACAAATATGTATCCTATCTACTAAACGGAACCGCGTAAAACCATTACCTAGAAGCAAATGACACTAAAGCACTGGACGGCCGTTTCGTCATATCGTGGGACTCTTTAGCAGTGCGCAACTATAATCCCACAGGCGGGATTGTCGAAAATCCTAGAGAATGGGATTGTGTAGCTTCATTCTGCCGTCTGATCGAAATTTCTTCAAGAAAACATTTGAAATTCTTAGAAACAAACAAAGTTTAAATACTCCCTCACTAGTCGATTGTCTAATCATATTCTGAAGATGCTTTAGTATTCTGTGTGAATTCGAGTTTGTTAGTGTAAGATCTGTTCAAAGTGTAACAACTTTCACCTGATCTATGTGTACGTGATTTGTTTCATAATTCAACGATTATATAGTGAAGATCATGTTCATCATTCTTGTAATTAGAAATTGTATGTAGTCAGGAATAACACTGAGCGTTGATTGATAAATAAATATTAGTCTGTATATACATTTCTATCCCAGCCGAAATCAGTAAAAAGACATACTGAATAACCAAACAGTTGAATGTGATTCAATTATATCCCTTGCCACAGAATTTGTAATCCCGAACGTTGGGAAGACCCAGAAAATTCCACCGAAAATACCCAAAGGAGCTCTGGAAACACTAGGAAACATCTTATTCAGTCAGTATTGAGTAGAAGTTTCTCAGAAATATCCAGAAAGTGAAGTCACATTTCTGATTGGATGATTGCCTATTCTGTTATGGTTGGTAGAGCTTCAGAGGCCCAAGGCCATCTGAAATACTATAAATACCCTCGATTTTCTGCATATAAACAAACCTTGAAGTAAAGCGTTCTTTCCGTGTAACACTTCGTTTCTCTCATGTTCAAGCTAGCCTGGGCTTATTAGAAGATGTTATAAAATCTATACAAACGTTAAGTCAGAAGATTTGTCAATGGAGACGGAGAAATCTACAATGAACTTTTCTTTTAAACAACTGGGAGCCTATATGGAGTGTCAAGAGAAAGAATCATGGGAGCTCTTGTGCAGAAAATGTGCATGTCCCAGCAAAACCCAGCTTCTGGTGCACTGCAAGTAACACATATATATTCCGTCATTAATGTCATCCATGAGTTTAACTTTGACAATGTAACAGGTGTTACTTTCGACTCATGATTCAAGAAATATGAAGATCTGTTCCATATTGATCTCTGCAGACTGGATGATGCTTCAAAAGTCAAAATACGTTTAAGAAGACTTGTAACGACAGAATACGAACGCTCTGGTAACTTTGTTCTTCCGAAGAAATCGTGAGACTTGAGTTTTGATTAAACGATTAAAACCCTGTCCCAAATCTTTGGAAAACAGTCATTTCTGCCTAACATCCGTTACCAATGTATGGATATAACTAAAGAACCAGGAAATGATGGAGTGTGACATTCAGGAGTTGTCAACCGAGAATGAGGTGTTCAAGTTTTTCTCCATGACAGAAGATCAGTTCGAATGCCTTGTATTTGTCTGTAGCATTCATTCACTCGAGATGTTGATATCCAAACAAGAATCCTAAGCAAACTTGGGTATTGTTCTAGCATTACCCTACAGGAAGTAACTACCGAATGCCAAAGGGTAGTGAATTGAAACCATGATACCTCGATGGTAGAGAATGGTAACCGGTTCCTTTACGTCAATGCAGTCGAGAGACGTTTTACA